TACAAGAGGATCCTGCCAGCAAAACATTCCTTGACATGCTCAAAGTCGACTACTTTCAGGCCAAAGAATCTTAAATTTTTGATACTTTAACTAAGGTACTCTTCATTGTCATTGACACTTTGGCAGTATAAATTCTTTCTCTGCAGCTTAAGTAGCCTTGGAGGCTTTAACAAACAAGAATTAAAAACAACAATGGCTAGTTGAAGAACAAGATAGCCATAAGACAAGAATTCTATCTTACATAGAAAACTCCAGACTGAATACACAATGTGAGATGAATTTCAATTAGTCAGAAAGTCAGTATAGTGAGTAGGTTGAAAAATGGACATAAATGCCTGGTTACAGCCATTACTGCCCTTTAAATACTAAACTTGGATGCAAAGAAATCAATGGATTACCTTGGTCATGTGACATTTCTTTGGGTTCACATGTGCTCATGTTCTAATCACCCATCTAGTGTATCCCTAGCACCCATGAACTTATTGGCCCATAGGCTTCATTGGATTTCTGCTTGGCCAGGTGGTTAGGGCACTCGACTCGCAATCTGCGGGTCACGGGTTCGAATCCCTGTCACACCAAACATGCTGGCGCTCTCAGCCGTGGGGGTGTTATAAAGTGATGGTTATCCCACTATTCGTTGGTAAAAGAGTAGCACAAGAGTTGGGTGGTAATGACTAGCTGCCTTCCTTCTAGTCTTACACTGCTAAATTAGGGATGGCTAGTGCAGATAGCCCTCATGTAGCTTTGCACAAAATTCATAAACAAACAAACAGTTGACCCGGATCCATTCCATCGACTACCATCTGGTTGTTACATAAACATTGTCTGGTTTCAGTAAGAAAAGAATGGGTTCAAGAGTGCAAAATTGGATTCTATGCTAACCCATACTTTTGACCATTATAATCTACTAATATTTATATAATCTTTCCTTAGGGACCTTCTTCTAGTTAGTACTAACTTTTGGTGTTTTGCAAAAAAAAAAGTGTATTTTACAAAATTTCATTGTATGGGTGTTATTTTCTGCCTCCTCCTATCATAGAGGTTATACAATTATGTGATTGAAAGCGGAACTTGTTTTACCATCTGCCATTTCGGACGTAGACCAGACTATGGATCTGAGGTTCCATGGTTCACATGCCATTACCACAGAAAGATGATGTGTTCCACAATTTGGAGCCATGCCAAGCCAACCCTAGACAAAATTGTTGTCTGTGCAAACTTTGTATTCGGAGCCCCTTCCCTTGTAAAACTGACAAGAACTGTTAATTGCAATGTTAATTTTGGCGCCTCTTGGAGTAGAGGTACACATCGCCCGTCCTTAGGGCCATTGATATGCTATAAGAATGATGGTCATATATTATTAAAATATAATGGCTCACAAATTATAAATTAGTGATGTGGACTAGCTGCCTTCCCTCTATTCTACCACTTTAAAGTTAGGGATAGCTAGTGCAGATAGCGCTCAATTACTTTTGCATGAAATTTAACTAACAAACTTATCCTTCAATGAAAATTTACTATTTGCCAAATATATTCTGTCACAAATATCAAAGAAAATAACATGTACACCATATCTAAAGGAATACTTTACAGTCCAGTAATCACAGTTAGCCTTAAAATTTAAAATGTTATATCAGCTAGTCTTAGCTTGGAGGTCAAATTCTCTGTTTCCTTTCATATGTTGTTTAAAAGTTGTTTTGCTTTTTTAATTGATCTACTTGTGTTACACAACACACAGGGATGACTTCATGAAATGTTCCTACACATGTCTGGAACTACACACTTGTATTTATTTATGCATGTATATCACCATTACACAACATCTCACACTGATCCCATAAGTGTGCCTCCAGTTTATGCACAAGTCACCTTTACCGTCATGGTCTCATGGAATACTTTCTGAAGTTGCTACTCTACAGGTGCAGTCTAGTAAATTGCTGCCATCTATATGCTCTCAAACTCAGCGCATTTTTTTTCTTTTCCGGCTTCATAAAATAAGTATTCATAACGTAATTTAGCTAAACTAACACTGTTTAGCTCAAATTCTCGTAAAACATCTCTGTAAAAGTCACTTGGAAAGCAAGAATCGAAAAGCCCTTTATATTGAGTTTTTGAACTCCCAACTATCACCTTCAGTTGTGCAAACTATTGATGCACTGGTTATTACATTTGCTGACACCAACCTCCCTAAACTGTGATAATTGAGCAGTTATCATTTAATGAACATCTATTGTAGTTAAACTCTGCTTAATTGCTTTGAAAATAAGGATCACAAAGCTCATTCAGTCCCGTTAATCATAGGATCAACAAACCATCCTAACTTTATGTCGAGTGGTAATCAAAAAATGTAGTGCATACATTGTACAGTGGACATTACTTGATAGTTTGGAAAAACAATGATTACTATTTCCTTTTAATATGTGGTTCTATTGTCAGTGACTGTATGATATAGTTTATAGTCTCTGTCATATCAGTTGGGAGGCTGTTGCTGCCAGCAGACTGTCAAAGCTGTCTTTTGCTTCTAAATCTAGTACTTCCTTATCTGTCCCATTACGTACAGCCAGATGAGTACCCTTGGCTCTTTCCTTCTTATTCACATGCTTGATTGGGTCAAGTACTGAACAATACAGGTTCAACATCAAGTATTGCACTGCTTATCCCTGAATCTGTTCACTTCTGGTAGTGACTTGTCTGAAATTATTAAGGAATTGGCTTAAATCTTCCTTGGTTGTACCCTTAAATTTCGGATGAAAATCTGCTTAATCTTACTTACAGGGATCTGTGAGGGTACCATAATCCTTTCTCTCACAGACTCTTGACCAAAATCAGGCTGAGACGCCCTGATCTTTAAGGTACAATGTAGTTATAATTAGGGATCCCAACACTCTGACAAGCAGTACGCCCCTGTCTGTTTTACTTTCACTAAGAATTCTTTTTTGAGCTTAACGTAAAAGAGTTCGATTAAAGGTCAGTACACATTACAGCAGATATGGCAAACTCAGCATAACAGTATTTTCTTCTTCTTCTTCCTGTCCAGTCTATGGTATATCCAGGTAGAACTGAAATAACTTTAGAGCAATAGAATAGGTCTGCTTAATAAAATAGCAAGACTTCGTCAAAATGCTGATTATGAAGTAATGCTATATCTCAGAGTAATTGAATCGTGATAATGAATGAAATAAAGAAACTGGACAAAAAGTAAAACATGATATTAACAACCTTTATTGTTAATTAATATGAACAAAATGTGTGCACTTGCTTTTACTTTTATGGAATGACTACTTTTACTTGGTCTTCTATCTTCAACTGATCAAGCTGTTTAAATCTAACAACCACATTTATCCAGAGTGACTAGCACTTCCTGTATGGCTGGTCATTTTCATTCTAACATAGATGACGTTGTAACCTCGAAATATCACTTGAACTACTGTTGACGTCTTTGGGCAAAGTGCAGTATTGCAGCATTATCACCCACGGACAGAACAGGTATTATCTACTTGAGAATAACAAAGGCAGCTAGAACGAAATCAACCTTAACGGCTTTTTTGACCAGGTGTTATGATGAAACTTGAACACGTACACAATAAAGAATATTACAAGATAGAAACGCATGGCATATTCATATACCACACAGTAGTACTTTGCTATTAATTGTATCATCTACATTTACAGAGACATCTATATACTTTTTTCATATTATTTCAATCACATCAAATCATTACTCAATGTTAACTATTATTATAATTATTAGCTATGGTGGTTATTGGAATTCCATCATTAGCTCCGACAAACTCGGGTAAATAAGTATGTATATATATATATATAAAGAGACGTTATATCTAAAGTTTGTCCAGTCTATTCATTTTCTCACAAAATTAACAAGTTTAAATACTTTTAATCAAAATAAGTCTCGTAATTTTTTTGTCGGATTCTACTGTTATTGCGGATAATTCTATCTTATATTTGTTGCGAAATCGGTTTTCAAGTGAAAATACCATACGTGTGCCCAAGTCCATAGTCAAAAGCATACGTGGAAATTGCGTATTTACATATCTATTTTGAAGAGAAGAAATCAACAGTGTACAACAAGATTAAATTAAACATCATTTCTTTACTTTGAGGATTGTTGCCGGTTAATGCCGTTTGAGGGCTTATTACTTCAAAACTGGGTTTCGATACCTGTGGTGTGCAGTGCAGAGATAGCTCTTTGTATAGCTTTGCGCTTAACGTCAAATAAAACTAGTAAAGTAAGCTGAAGAAGAAAAGATTTATCGTAATGTAAGTTTTAATCAATATATAAGGTGCTGTAGTGTATTATTGTTCTTTCATAGACGCAAGTAGCTGAAACTGAAAGAAATAATTCTACAATTCTTCCTCACAATAGGTAACAACTTGACCCAGCAACAAAGGTTTTTTTAGTGCGGAGCCATCTTTGATTGATACAAGAGAAAATTCTATAATGAATCTGTGTGTGTGTGTGTAAACATTAACAAGTGGAAGTAAGTTTTAAAATCCCTCTATTTGGTTATATGAAACATACATATAGTACCTACATTATTACATATGAAGATAATAAGCTATAATACATTGATACTGAGAGGTTTTGGTAGGTTGACGCTTTTGAGTGGGCTGATGTTAATACCGGAAATGACATACTCGACAGTTGCTATATTACCGTTTTAGGCTTACCATCGAAGTTTTTAAACCAAAGTAACACTAGGACTAATTAAATCAAAATGAATCTGCACTAAAAACAATAAAATTTGTCTAATAACAAAACATATTGATAAGAACAATACCTATCTTGACTGTAAAGTAATTATTTCACACTAATATATTTTAACAAATTTGGAAATCGTAATTCCAGAACTTTGCAAAAGAGTACGTCGTTAATGAAATATGCACTTTCATTTCAGGGCTAGCACGGAAATGGTCAACTTTTATTGAGTGATCCCATCAAAATAGTGATCTTTTGTTCATGAGCAGTTAAAGATATGAAAATGGCCACCTTAGAAGATTTTTCAACCAGTGAAACACAAACTTCATCTACCAATGAACCTGTTTCTGGCGAGTGGGATAAGAACAAAAACTTGGGTGGAAATTCAACAGAGCCTTTCAAATGTGAAAAATGTGGCAAACTGTTTATCTCTTCGAGTTTTCTGAAGTGCCACAAAGATATATATCACACAGGTAATTTAAATTATTTTTAGCTGTCTTTTTTATCTTTTTTAATTTATATTTTAAGTCAGAATGTGTTACAAAAGATCATATAAATTTACCATGACAACCTTAAAGTTAAACTGAATGGTATGAGTAACCTTCATTAGTTTGGAAATGTAATGATCCAGTATACTTCTGGTCTGATTGGATCCTATCAGTGATAATTCATAGAACAGTTTGAGATTGATGGAAAAAGAAATGTTACTTAAGTTTCATATAAATGAAATAAAGTGAAAATAACATTCATACATTTATTCAAATGTTCATTTAGTGGAATTTAGTATAATAGTTAATGCAATACAAAATAAAGTACTTTACTACAAGTAACAATAAACTTAATCTTATATTCTAATCATGGTGTTATGAAAACTGTTTTCAATGTGAAACAGAATTTCAGAAAGGCTATGTGTACCTTGCAGCATGCACCTCAATTTGACTCACTATGTCACTAACCCCCTTTTCTCCATTTGAAGGAATGTTTTCTGGTTCTGACTCAAGAAGTTACTATCTCTATCTGCTCTTTCATCACCAGATAACCCTGTATCACTAGCTAAAATAATTGAGTTCTTGTGCATTTGTGTATCTTGCATGACACTATGCCATTCTCAACATAACTGTAGTTTTCCAGTTTTGATTCCGAAGTGAAAAAACAACAACAATTGTTACATGTTGATAGTGGCATGTGGCGTATAAAAATTGTTTGTTGTTTTGTCTTAAAAGTAATTCATATGTCGCTAGCTACTGGTGTCTGTTTTCCACATGGACTCTGAATTGACAAAAAAAAATACAAGATCTTAACCAGGCTGAATGGGCTGGAACTGCCATATGAATGATGATGGTTGCCTGAAAATTACTGAAAATAAAATAAATTTCAACTGATTAGATGAATAATCTTTAATAATAACTCACTCTGGGGTACAACTTGATTCTAGGTATACATAACATTAAAAGCACGTGTTAATATATTGTGTGTGTGTGTCTGCATATAGGCTAAAAATATAAGGACAGCAAGGGGACCACTTATTCCTTTAAGGCTGTCCCTACACTCCGATTATTTGTTTTTCAGGAAATCAATGATTCCCTTGTAAAATGCTGGCTTCTCTATTATTCACAGCAACTCGATTCATAAGCTAATTACCCTGTTAGAAAAATAAAACTGTCTTAACTGTAGTTTAACCTACCCACCTTGTACAAATCTTAAACCTGTATTCTGTTAGTCCTCAGAATTCAGAACAAAGAAATTAGGTTTTTATCTTTCAACCCTTAAGTAATTTTCTAAAATTCATGAAGAGCACCTCATACTCTTTTCTCAAGACAAAATGAGTCATCATAAACTACCTGTATTATACTCTTACCATTCCCAAATCCTCCTCTGAACCCTTTCCAGTAGGTCAGTACCCTTTCTTTGATTAGGAGAGCAAAACTGTATACAATATACCAAATGAGGTGTAAATAGTAACTTGTAGTAAAAAGTGATTTTAGGTAGTATTTATAGACAAACTGGTTCAAAATTTTGAACCAATTTGTGTATAAATACAACCAATTATTCTATTATCATGACTTCTATCAATAGAGCACTGCCTTGATGGCATGAGTGATCTAGACATTGCAGTGCTATAGTACTTTTCTTTGGTCACACTAAAGAGTGCTTTTTCATCTATATTAAATGTGTGACTAAATTTTGGTATCTAAATACATTTACCTTACTATGATTAAAGTTAATTTGTAAAAACTAGTTGAACTACTTGTCCAATTTACAAATTAATTCAAGTTGTTTGATAGTACCTGAACAGCCACAGTACAGGTAGAAATACAACACATGAGAGGTAATATGATCAAAAGATTATTAATTTAGTATATATATATATATATATACCCTTATCAATATCAGTAACATAAACTAGTTGAGTGTTTACCCACTAAGGAAGCAAACATTGTATAAAGGACAGTGTTGCACGATGTCTCCTTCTTTTTTTATTGTTAAATCCTTAATGATCTCATTAGGTGCTAATTGCATGCTGTATTTTGAGGAAGCTAATATATGACTCTTTTTTTAACTGATTAAGCTGGTGTCTTTAAATTCAAAAGTATAAAATGTGGAAATATTTCAATGTTTATCCTCCTTGACAGGCAAAAGTAAAACGAGACACCCCATGTATATCATCGGGCAGTTTATAGTTACCATATAAAAAATTTACAGTAATTGAGTCAGCTAACTATGTGATGGATGTTAACACACATATAATGGATCATCTTTATAGTAAGATGATAAAAAGGAAAGGCCCAAATACTGTCACCACAAGTCCAGTTTGATTGGACTCCATTAATAAAACATTCTATGTGGCACTTTACCAAAATCTTAAGTACACCATTTTCCATCATCCAAATAATAAGTAACATTTTCAGACACAAAAAAAGTTAAATTCTTTAGGCATGATCTCCCTTTAGTGATTCCATATTTGCTTTATTTTAATTTCTTTTTCACTAAACTTTTATAAGTCTGTTTTTTGTAACTACAGAAGTAAATCTAACTGGTTTATAATTTCATGACTATTCGTATCAACCCCTTTAAAAATATGAGTAATAGTAGCAACTTTCCAACCCATGGCACGTGCCTACTAAAAATGAAAGGCTCCCTTTAAAACCTTCTCTGACCTCATATAAAGTACAAAACCATGGAGAAAAATCGTCTAGTTGTAATATTTTATTTTTTACATTGATAGAAATGAATAAAACCCCTATAACCCAAGTGCTTGAAGAAGAAAGGTCAACCTTTTAAAAGTGCTCAGGTTATAGGGTTTTTATTCATTTCTATCAGTGTGTTTTTATGACTATTAGTTACTATTATTATTATTATTACTGAACATCAAATGTATAATATCTACATGAATCAAATTATTTCCAATGTTTCTCACAGAATTCTCAGGATTAAACATATTGCTAATATCTTTCCATTAGGAACCTCAAAAAGCCAAGTCTCCATTTTAACATTCTGCTTAATCTATACCAAATCTTGCTGTTAGTTTTAATATTATTAGCCAGATGTTTCTCATAAGCACTATTTGATTTCCTAAATTATTTTTCTAACAAGTACATAGCTTTTATTCTGTAAATCTTAATGACCTTATATTTCAATTTAAACTCCTATACTTCTTGTACTTATTTCAGATTTTCCCCTATATATTGTTAATAAACCAGTTGTAGGTAATAATCCTTATTAACCTTTCCTTTTTGTTGGAAATGTGCCAATTGTGAATTAAATAGTTCATTTTGAAAAAAAATGATAATTCTCTCCCATATCACCAATTTAACTCATTATCCCGATTCACTAAAGATAAATCTTTTCTCATGACCTCAAATTGGCTTTAGGAAATTTAGAAATAGAATTTTCATTTTTATTCATCTCAGTGTGCAGCAGAACATCAAGTCTGAGTATGAAGTAATCACTCTATTCCAAATATTAACAAGAAATGTAAAATTTCCACAATGGCATTCCTCTCTGGATGGTGATAGAAAACCACCCTGAATCACTAAGAAACCTCTCCCTTTTTACTTGTCTTGACATGCTCCCAATGTATCTAAAAATTCCCATGATAATTGTTAACAGCAATATGCGCATTTCTTTTGAATATTTAGAAATGTATATGTATTTTTTAAATATTTTTTTTCTGAATGATATATAGGTAAGAAGGAGGTGAACCAAAAGGAAAGTAATGAAGTTTTTGGTCAGTTATTTAATGATGAACTTTTGTTAGAAACTAAAAATTTTACTGGAGAAGACATCACTGGAGATGAGGATGAGAATCACATGAATGAAGAACTTTTGTTGGAAACAAAAAGTTTTACTGAAGAAGACATCAGTGGAGATGAAGATGAGAATCACATGAATGAAGAACCTTTGTTGGAAACAGAAAGCTTTAATGGAGAAGATATCAGTGGAGATGAGGATGAGAATCACATGATCTGTAGTAACGATAAAGATAATGTAAATTGTGAAGTACATCTTGAAGAACTAATGGAAGGTCAACCTTTGACCAATATTGATAATGAGTGTTATGAAAATCAGTTTTCTGAGATAGATGAGAATCAGGAGAAAGATAAAGGACCAAAGGATTTAGATGAACATCCAGCAACTAGTAATGAAATGCATAAAAGTAAAATTCGTGAAAACGTATCTGTTTCAGAGAATCCTTTAGTAACCCAAAAGGAACAAAATAGTTCTTCAGGTTCTGATGAGTATCATTGTACTTGTTGTATTTTTACTACTAACAGCTACTTTGAGCTTTTAACTCACTTGGTTATTCACCAAGATTGCAAAGGAGGTGCACGGCCCTTCAAATGCCTGGAGTGTGGGAAAAATTTCAAAGCAGAAGGCCACCTTCGTCAGCACCAGGAATCTCATATTCAGTATGAAACAGTAAAGTGTAATATTTGTGGCAGTATGTTTAAAAACAACTCTGGTCTAGCTGTCCATATGAGATCTCATCTAAAGAATATTCCAGCTTCACAATCACATGATAATGTTAAACTTCTTAGCCACGAAATAATTGTAAGAAGGATCAATACTGCAGGTGATAAG